GGGGGCCTGACAGAAAAAGTTTGAGAACCACTGCTTTACAGCAACACTTTTGTATGTGTATCCATAAAGTGAGTCCTCTGTAAGTCTATCTGGTTTAGACCTGAGTTAAAAATTGAAGCCAGTTGAGGCCCTTATCTCCCTGAAGTCAAACATGTGTAGCCACAGGTGAATCTGACTTAAAGCCGTCCATATTTATGAATGTGATCATGAATAGTTGCCTTGGGATGATAGAAACATTGAATGTGGAGAAGTGGGAATAGAAAATGGATGGGTGGAGGCTATTGACATGAAGGTGAGATGATGGAAAAAGTGAATATGGAAAAAAGCTTTGCAATGGATCCTACTGTGTCAATGTGACATGAACAGCCACTAGAGGGCTGTGTGGGCGATACTGAGTTCCTTTGGTAATAGGTAATACACAGTCTATGGCAGTGGTTCTCAACTGGTGGGTCGCGACCCAAAAGTGGGTCGCAGATGTGTGAGTGAAAAAAAAATTTTTTTTTTTTTTTTTTTTTTTTTGGGGGGGAAAAAAGTCAAACTTTTATTTTGAAGGCCCGATTTTCTAACGCTGTGCATGCAGTAGGTGTTGGACTGGAAGTACCGGAGACCATGAACGGTTTTGAAAACTTCTGTCACGTAGTGATCATCTTCTCAATAAAATATCTTTGCTGATGTTTTTCCGAGTCTTCTGGCCTTTGATCAGAATCAAGATTGTTGCCGGAAGTCCCCACGGACAGGGCCGCCTTAATGCACGGGCTGACCTGGGCTGAAGCCCAGGGGCCTACGGAGATCAGGGGCCTATCATGAGCCAATACAAAAATTAATTAAAAAATTTTTTTAAAAAAGGTTTTTTATTTCGGATGTTTTAAAAAGTTTTTTTAAATAAACAAAGTCTTGGCTTTCAGAATATGAAACTTTTATTTCCAAAATCACACGATAAATACATTTTTGAAGCTTGTAAAGGGAAGAAGACAGCTCTCCCTTGCCACTCTGCTGTTCTGCTGTTCCCCTCCCTCCGCTGACATTATGAATGTAGGCCTAAGTGTATAGTAATCATAGATAACACGGCAGGGTCCGTTACAGTTTGTTTTCATCTGGTTTCAAATAAACAAAGTCTTGGCTTTCAGAATATTAAACTTGTTTCGGCAAATTCAGATGATAAATACAACTTTGAAGCTTGTAACGGCATAATTACAAGCGGAGAACGGAGTAACTTGACGTCACAGCAGGCATAACAACAGCCGGTGTTTCTCGTGAGTGTTTTCCCCGGAAAACAAACACAACACACAAACGCAAAAATACACAAACACACACACACACACACATATATACACACACACTCGTGAGCTTCCCCCAGACCAGTAATCCAAACGAAAATATATTCCCTCCGTAGTATTTTGATCATTTGCTCCGCTAATCAATCAGATCGATGGATTCCAGAGATTTTTCTCAAAAATGATGACTCCGTAACAGTCAGTGGGCACCACTTAACAGCCAATCAGAATGAGAATATGTTTCACATGTGACGTAGGCCTATTCAAATTGCGAGTGATTGAGTGACAGATGAAGGTTGTTTAGGAGAAAATGTCGGAGAAGAAAAAGTTTGAGTGGCGCTCGGAAAAGGAAATTCTTGAGGGAAAAGTAGTTTCGAGACAAGCTGCTATTACAAATGTTTTGGAAGCTTACATGTTATTTTAAACCTGTAGACCAGGATAAGGAGGAAGGACAGATGAGTTCTGTACCGAGCTGCAGCGGTGCCGGCCGCGGGGCCTCTGAGCCAAGTAGGCCGTCTGGTTCTGATAGCGATGGAGTAGCGGGAGGAAAAACAGACAGGAGGAATGTTGGAGGAGATGGAGAGGACGACGAGGACTTCTAGAGGGGAGCCAACGGCAACCGGACAAATACATGAGGGATGCGTGTAGAGCAGAGTGGAGAAGTGCGATCACAGAGCCTGCCGAGGCTATAAATGACTTTGATTTGTTGTTTAAATAGGGGGCCTACAAAACCTATCAGCCCCAGGGCCTGATGGCAGGTTAAGGCGGGCTTGCCCACGGAGAATAACTTTGCAGTAGAACTCTTCTTTATACATCCATGGGTACAACTTCAGATACAAATGAACACATAATGAAATATGACCCCCGGTTTGATGATTGACAGGTCACAGAACAATGAGGGCTACCCTTACCCACAATTTAAAGTAATTCACACAGACTATCTCCTCTTTACTCTTCTCTCTGAGTGGAGCAGCAAGCTGTCAGAACAAAGTGAAAAACAAACAATGGCATAACATATTATTAATATGTCGCGTAGCAATAGATTTATTTATTTTCTTCTCAGAGTGTACCAGAATGGGTAGTTTATATGTTAGTATTTCAAAAAATCTCCTGGGGGAGAATCCCCTCAGACCCCCTGCTGGGGTTGGGTTTTCAGCATGTGTGCCTTTTTATATGGTTCAGCTTTGATTCCATCATCTCATTAAACCTTTTTTAAAAGCATACTTTAGTTATGTGAAGGGATATAAGGGATATATGCACTGTACTTCACTTTAATTAATAATGTATGCTGAAAAGAGTATATTTTACTGCACGATTTTTTGTTGAATAGATTTGAGTGGTTCAAAATTTCGGGTCGCGATGTATTGACTAAGGAAAAAGTGGGTCCCGAGGCCTGACCAGTTGAGAACCACTGGTCTATGGTAATACACTGTAGTATGTGTCACAAAGACACATGATTAACAACAAAATATACAGCATATTTAATAATTGTATGGATGACAAATTATGCTGATCTCTCCAAAGGAAATTACATGTGAACTTGAGAACGATTTTTGTTTTTTTATTTTGGCTGCAGGCTGGATTCGAACCCTGGCCTCTATGGTGAGTACTCACCATTAGAACAAGAATTTGGCCTTTAACCACTTTCCTTTGAACACTGCAAGCCAGGATAAAACCCAAAAAGAGAAGCCGAAAGAGAAAACATAAATTATACTTTTCATTTGAATCTCAAACAGTCCACTCATCCAGTGACATTGTTTTACTCTCCTCTGAGGAAGGCACATGAAAGAGCCTCTGAAGTACAATAAGGTTGGGAAGTGTTTTAATTCATGACAGAGCAGGAATCTAGCGGGGGATTTTGACTTTAACGCTCATGGGAGCAGGCCTGGCAGGTTAATAGTTGCTAACCACTTATCCCACACTTTAACTCAGGCAAATTTGGCATTGATCCAACATGAGTATTACTGTAATTGTAAGTGCAGAAGATGTGTCATCAATCAATCAATGTTTATTTATTTCAATCAATCAATGTTTATTTATATAGCCCAATATCACAAATGTTACATTTGTCTCAGTGGTCTTCACAGTGTGTACAAAATATCAGTATGACAATACGACACCCTCTGTCCTTAGACCCTCACATCGTACAAGGAAAAACTTCCAGAGAAAACCCACAGTTTAAAGGGAAAAATGGGAGAAACCTCAGGGAGAAAGTAGGATGAATGCCGTCTCTCTTAATCAGACCAGGTTTTCCCCAGAAGGCTGTCCAATTATTTACGAAGCCCACATTGTTTGCTGGGCACCACCAAGACAACCAGCGCTGAAACGATGACATGTCATCATTGATCAGATTGGGGAGGGGACCAGAGAAAATTATCATCTGTCATCTAACAACTGTTGGCATTTTTCATTCATTAGAAGTATGAAAAGGAAATCCCTCCTCCAGACAGTGGCAGAAAAAGCAGAAAGTGGTGAGTGAACAAGATGACAGTACTGCCCTCTAGTGTACAAACACTGAATGCTTCCTCCTGGTACTGATTCACTGCAGTAAGCTGTAATAAAAACGAACTGTGATGTTACCACCCAGTTGCAGTGTTTTTAAAGCTACATTTGCAAACTGGTGGTTAAAACTAGCAACTTGTTGGGACCTGATTGTCTTGTCCAGCTGGCATTCATCATTACAATAATAATAATTTCCTATTAATAAGTGTTGCTAACTAGAATCATAAACATTGTTTGTTGTCTCATACCAGATGGCTATATATGTATATGCTGCTCTGCTCTCACAGTTTCTCTTCTGATGTTTGGAGGTATATCAATCAAGAACTCAGATTCCAGTTTTATCAGCTGCTGTGTCATCCCTCTCTGGTTTATGTGGTTGCCATGGTCACACTACAAGCCGCAGTTGGAGGTGGCAGCTAACTGTTAGCAGGCCTTTTGCTTAGCCTATATTGAGGATTTTTCAAACAAAAGACAGGGCGTATGATTTCACACAAAGTAAACTCTGCTTTCAACATTGTTTCAAGAATACTAAGGCTTCAAGCTGCACTGTTCATCTGCTACATATTCTTCCTATCATGATTGTTTCTACCCTGAGGCAAGTAAGAAAACAAATTCTGTTAATCTGGCAAAACCTTTTTTTTTTAAACCTGTTCTTCAGTGATAAACAAAGGAAATAAAAGTGTTTAGATCAAACTTAGAAAATGGATCACCAGAAGAAAAATGCTTCTCACTGGCCTCTCAGGGCTTCCGTACAGCTCAGATCGAGAGCTTGGTGTTTGTTTATAGATCGTCCAAAACAACATTTGAATTCTACACTAAATTACATTTAGTAGGCTGTAATAGCTTACATGCAAACAGCACATCCAGGGGCCAAAAACACTGTAGTTCCATTGTTTTGCCTCTCCTTTGATATGCTCTATAAAACCTAACAAAAAAACAATCTTAAAAAGTGACAGATTATGCTTATGGTAGTAATAATACTAATATTGGGAGGGATGAAACCCCTCTTTAGTGGTCACACATGCAGAGCACAGAGCACACAGCGAAATGCTCTGCTTTTAACCCATACCAGGAGTCTAGTACTAGGAGCAGTGGGCAGCTATTGTACAGCGCCCGGGGACTATACTCTTGAACTCTAGTACTCTTGAAATGCACTTTGTAAGTATATTTAATGAGTTTTACATGCAGCTTTTTATGTCGGAAACAAAAGAAACAGAGATTGAATTCCCTTTTTCTCATTTTTTTATTGTTTGTTGTCCTTCTTGTTTGTTTTTTTACATCACCATCCATGGGATTTGACTCTTTTTCCATACTGAGCAAGCATCCCAGAAACCCCACAGCCACCAAGACAAATACCATCACACAGTTTCACTTTCACAAGGGGTGGGGGGCTTACAGAGGGGGCGAGGGGGTTTGGGGGCAAGAAGGTGTTCAACAGCAACAAAGGAAGCTCCTCTCAGCCTGCAGCACGTTGCGTACACTACATACATATCACTCGTAAACAATTAGCATAATATGGCATAGAATAGCATTCCAGCCGACAGAGCGTTAAAAGGAGGTGTGTTTTAGTGTGTGTACGTTTGGGGAGGCATGGGACACGGGGAGGGGGTGCCGGTGTTGACGGATGGTTTGTCAATTCTCCAGGCAAGGGTGCTGCATCACAGCAACTGATGTTTAGTGGTGTGTGTTTCATCTACAGTCTGTAGTGCTTTTATTTCTAACCGATTCCTTTTTAAGCAGCAGGGGATTCCAAGTAACTCAGTAGGCTTACAGGATTATGTCGAAATGGTGCAGAACTGTCACAGAATAATAATAAAAACCTGTGTGTGGGCGCAAAGCTGTTTCTAATAGCGCCAGGTCAGCACTGGTTGCATATGGCAACCTCCGACCTGACAAGCGTTGCCATGACAAACAAAAAAACAGAACCCTGCAGGAGTGGAGGGGTCTGTCGCCCCGGCAACAGCCAGTCCAGAAACATTAAAAGAGCCAAAAAGGGAGGGAAGCAGGGAGGGAGGAAGACGGATAAAGACAAACTGAAAGGAAGGAGTGACGCGGAAAATACAAGCAGCATGCTATAACTCTATCAAGAGCTACGTTTGCTGCCAGATTGTATTTGTGTGCTGGATTTCGCCTCCTAAATCTCCACCCACATACTCTCCCGCCTAAAGCAGCAGAGAGAAATAGTGTAGATTAATGTGAAAGTCGCTGGTCGGGGTCAAATTCCCCACTCCTGACTAACACCTTGTTGTGTGATGAGTAAGTTGCCGTGGAAATGAAGTTTCCATTTCCCGTTCCTATCTTGTCACATATTTGAATGCTGTCATTCCCCCTGCTGTGGATTCTTTAAATACATATACACCATGCGTAACACTGAAAGACTTTGTCTTCTATACGTTTCCAGTTAGATTAGAGGGAAAGTTTAAAAAGTGTGTATGAAAGCAAACAGACGTGGTGTAGGCTATATCTAGCCTACAGTATGCATGTGTGTGAGTCAGGGTTCAGTAAAGCTAACGCAAGCTCTTATGTGCTGCTATAGCGACAAGTAGCTCTTCACCACCCTGTTGACTAAAATGAAGTCTGTGTTAGTAGTATACATAGCCTACAGAGTTAAAGTAACTGGGGCCTCATCATTACAGAAAAATATCCTAGCTGCTTGTCCTAAGTTTCAAACATATGATTTTATCTTACTATCACAGAAGGAAAAGCTTAATTCATGGCCATGTCCCATCTTTTTTTGGATCTAATATCTTGTCTTAAGAAATCCTAATACCTGTACATTGGATTCTGCCTGAATATTTGATTAAAATGTACTCAAGACGGATCAGCCACAATATCAACTGCTCTCACTTGTCATCGGCTAGCTAGAACTTGCTCTATCAGCCGTGCTCTCATGGAGGGAAAAAAGAGACACGTTTTCCTAATAAATAAGTGTCATATGGTTGGAGTGGCCTTTCATGTATCATATTTGATACGTTCCCTGCTTTCATTGTCATACAGACAGCAGTGCTGTTCATTTACATTTAGGACAGAGTATATGCCATCCTAACTTAGTAGGCAATAGTTCTGTTCAAAGTAAATACTACAATTCAGGTTTTTATTTGTAATCCCTATAAGTAGTTAGGAAACATGTTTCTTGCATGTCATCCTAAACCGAGATGAGATTCTGTAAAGAGGCCCCTGATCCCTTTGTGAGCCTGTTACTCCGTGTCGAGTCATGGAGGGAGAAAAGCCTGCAGAGAGAAGGTGACTGGTGGCCAAGACCTTGTTGACACAAGAACTAACACAGGAAATCAGTTGCTTGGCTTAATGAAAACCAGATCACGTAAAAAATAAAACGTCAAGTCCACAACAGTAAACAGTGCTTTACAGGAGCCTGCTGTGCGTGTCCCATTCCTCACACATTAACACTGCACAAAAGTACATTAGCTCATGTCTACTTTCAAGCATAAATCAATAGTGCTCAGCCCTTAGGCACCTAGTTACAGAATGACACTAAAAAGCAGTTTGACAACAAGTTAAAAACTCTAAAACATTTCAAGATATCGAGCATTTTTCTACTTTTCAGGGGCTCTACCGGTAGGATAGGCCCTATGAAAGCACAAACTCTGGCACCCTTGAATCGGTTTATCCTGGCTATTTTACCAGGATTATCAGTATAACTTCTGTGGGTTCAGGCACATAAAGAGTGGAAAAGAAAAAGGGATTTGGATGAGTATAAAACAGTCACATTTGGAGGAGGAGAAACATTCTGTATGTAAATGCACTGGTTGGTGATGGGACAGTTAACGGCTGACTGACAGCTGTCTATCAAAACCGTTATAATTACAGGAAACAAACTGGGGAATTTGTAGCAGTGAATGGCACCTTTCCCGCACCTCTAAGAGTTATCTAATAGGACGGCATTAAGAGACAATAAGGCAAGGAAAGGTTTGAAGTGACAGCGAGTACAACTTTCTCTTTCCTCCCTAAATCTTTCCTACAATTCTCCCACTTAACAATGGCCTAACGCTTAAAAAAACCGAGGCATAAAGCTCTATTTACTACCTGCCAAAGCTCCTTCTCCTAACACTCACAAGCTCTAAGGCAGCTGCCAAATATGGAATATGGTTTTTTACTTATTTAGCTTAGCAAAAGGGAAACATGAGATGAGAGCCAGTGCAGCCAGAGTCTATAACCCAAATCAAATATTTGTTTAACCTCAAGGCCGACCTCATGGCTAATAATAATCAATTGGAAATGGATCGCAGCAGTGTGTGATGGATGGCGGTGCACTGAAAAGGGAAGCAATTCAAATGCAACACAGTACAAATCACAGATACTCTGTTCTTGCCTCCTGAATTAACTGTAAGACAATTTCAATCATCCAGCTTGACCTATTCAAGGAAAGATAATCTAGTTTTGTACAAATGCTCCATTTAAACCACTCCCCAAATGAAAAGAAACACAATGAACATCCTGCATGAAAATGTTCCTCTTCTCTTAATTCAGTCCCACTTGACCCCCCTAATAAAACAACAAAAACATTAAAAGAATACAATGGCAGGGAGAAAAGTACGGTATAAAAAAACGAAATAATGTCAAAAGTGCTCAAATAAGGAGTATTTCATTTTTTCATCATATGAGGCAGACATTTTTTTTTCTAACTGTGTCCTCTAGGATCCGGTTTTGGGGAGGGGGAGGAGGGTACGTGGTAAAGGAGAGGGGAAAGATGGAGGCTGACGGATGGACCGGTGCTGGGAAGGGTTTGGTTCCCGGTGTCGTGATTTTTCTTGACCCCTCAGCTCCTGTCGGCCGACCCGTCCTCCGGTCTTTGTTTCCTCCTAAGTGGCCGAGGGCGGACCCCTAACCCAGGCTGGTGATGTTGGCCCTGCCGCCAGGGGGGGCCAAGGTGCGCTGGGTGTTCCGGCGAGGAATGTTGTCGTCCATCTGAGCGCCTGTGAGATCAAGAGGAAAGATGGGTATTCAAAGTTGTGTTTTCACTTGGTTGTTTTAAAGGTCTCCTATCATACTGTTTTTCATCGATATATTATAGGTCTCGGATATACAAAACATGTCTCTGAAGTGTTTGGCTTGAAACACCAAACAGGTCATTGCAGTATCCCATAAACCCCTCTGTTTCAGCCCTGTTTCAAAAGTGCTGATTCTCTGTCTGTTACTTTAGATGAAAATAGGAGCCCCTCCCCACGCCCCTCTGAGAGATATTTGGTTAAAAAAAACACAATGGTGCTCTAGGAGGAGATTCAGGTGATAAGGGGGGGGGGGGGTTACCTTGGTTGGTGATTGGCTAATGGTTACACAAGCCAAAAAATCGTTATGACATCATAAAGTGGCCAAAATATGATCAGCTCATTTTCAGACAGGTTTTTATATAAATGGATCAGGACAAAAAGAGAGAGAATCTTTTTTCCTGAAACCTTCAGAATCTCTTTACACAGAGGGGACACATGTTGATGTATAACAAAAACACATAAGTGGACTTAGCATAATAGGTGACCTTTAAAATTGTATGTGGGGAATTCCATATATTTTACAACTGGTTCACTGGACTTGGTCAAACCTACGGAAGCCCTAAGGGGCATGTACGGAAAAAATTAATAGCATCTATTTTTTGTTATTTATTTTCTCCAGGATAACCTTCTCAAGTGTTTTTATTTAATTCTATGAAGTATGGTAGTAATGTGCTTTTTCAGGTGATATTTTTTTGTTAGGATCACTTTTAGAGCAATCATAACCTGTTTACTTACATGTGAATCCAGGTTAATTTCTCCATACACCTTTAATAATAGGTAATATTTACCTGCATGTATATATGTAACAAAGTTTAATATAAACCTAAGACCTACAGAATTTAAAACATGGTGTGTATATTTTTTTGCATCTGTTTTTTAACTCAAAAAAAGGAGAGAAAAATGATGATGACATATACGGAAGAGGATTAGGGCCACATAAAAAAAATGTTGGGAGGATTTTTGTTCTGAGAAAAAAGTCAGAATTCTGACTTTTTTCTCAGAATTCTGACTATCAGAAATCAGAACTTTTTTTATCCTGCGAGAAACTTGCTTTTGTGACAGTTGCTCCATTTGAAAAAAAAATTGAAAATATATTAAACATATTTATATGAACACAGGAAGGGAGATGTTTATGTGCAATATTTAAACGAGGTACATTGTCGATTAAAAGATAAAATAATAGGAAATGGAATAAATATTGTTCAAACTAAAATGTGCATATTTAATTACAACATATAACATGTATTTTACAATATATACACTGGTGTTTGAGTACTAATAAGATATGATTGCTGAATTGCACCGCCAAGCAGGCAGGGTCAGGGGAAAAAGTGATGGAAATTAGCTGGAGGTCAATAATGTGATTACAGAGTTTACCTTAGTTGAACTCTTTATGGATTTCATGTAACCATGCCATGAGAGAATCCAATAGTTTGCAGTGACTCAGATGGATTGGATTTGGTTCAATGTTCTCTCTCCTGAATGCTGGTGTGTTGGAACGCTTTACGTTTCCATGTGCAAAAAATAGATGCTGAATGGTGTCCTTCGCTCACTTCATACAGTAGATGTCCATGGTACCAATAAGCAGCACTATTCAAAAGTACAGAAGTGCACTTTCTCTAATGCTGGGGATATCATGCTGTGTAGTGTAATCATTTTACAACTGTAGGTAGATGAGTGCAAAATAGAAGTTTGTTATTCCCTTTTGTCTTTTCAATTAAACCAACATAACAGACATGAATTGCAAACTGTGGTTAATTAGCCATGTATTTAAAAAGTTTAAAGCAAAAAGCCAAAAACTATTTTTGTCTGTGTATTAAGGACATTGTAAGTAACCAGAGCCAGGGGAGGGGGGGTTATATTATAAGCAAATAACTTAGAATATTCAAGATAAGAGTTCGTTTTTATTAAGAAAAAAAATGTAGATCAAAGTGGTAGATTGATGGGGGGAAAAATAAAATATATATCATACATTCACAATAAATTAGCTGATCAGAACTGACCGGAGAGGCTGAACCCAGACTGGTGCAGGTTACGGACGGGCTGGTTGGGCTGCTTGGCCGGCGAGTTCTTGGCGGAGGAGGCAGGGGTCATGGTTTTGGGGGTGACGGACACCTCGCAGACTGGGCCATCATACAGACCTCTGGGTACACCCCTCAGCTCAGCAAGCTGGATGCAAAAAAGGACACAACATTCATGGCAGTGAGAATAAACAAGAAATATCTCTAAAAAGCTGCTTCATCCCCAAAAGTCCTAAAAATGATTAATCCTTCGAAATTGCTGGGTGTGGAGCTTTGCCTCCTATCTAACTATAATTTATGTTAGAGAAAACTAGAGTATGGTACCCTGCTGCGAGCCTTTATCCTCTTGTAGACGTAGTCGGGGAAAGGCTTGCGGGCCACGAAGCGTCCCGAGCCCTCGATGGTGTGGAGGTTCCCTTCCTCCAACACGATCTTCCCCTGGCTGATCACCACCAGAGGCCCGCCGCGCACCTCCGTGCCCTCAAAGATGTTGTACTCCACAGTCTGCAGAGAAGGGAAAAGATAGATAAAGTGTGCGAAAATGAAGTGTGAACATCTCAATATAACACATTCCATACACAAAGACAGTTCAGTACATAATGAATCCACTATCCTTGACATTAGTTTTTGATGAAAGTGGGTCAATTCAGTTTGTGTGGGTTTGTTGTTATCTCAAGTACGCCTTTAAGATTTTAGTCTCCAAATGATAATTGGATGCTGAGTTCATGTGGTGCTGGAATAATCGGAAAAATTAGTTTAGTAGAAATGTCACATGTATCCCCCTAAAGTTGGAACAATAACTCGAAAAGTAATATGGTATTAGGTTGTAAGTTACCCAAAAAAGTAAGAAAATAGTATTGGCAATAACCCTGTTACAAGTAACGGAATCTTCTATTGAATTTAGGTAAATCATTTGATTCCCAGCTGCTTGTACTTCAAACTACTAATGAAGATAAATCCTCCCAGAAACACATTTAAAGCTGATTCATCTCCAGCTGATTTCCCACCATCATCACAGATGATGCACGCCACCGTACACAATTGGCAGAATGTCGATGGATTACAGTGCACTTGTGAAAGGAGCTTAACTGATTCAACTCGAACAGAGATGAAAGCGATTCGCTAGGCAAAAATAAAACGCCTGATGTGGTAAACAGATCTCAGTTCTCAGGGCCAGAGGAGGAAGAGGAAGGAGATGAAGGAGCAGGGTCCCGTGAGGGGTTTGGCTGTTTGGGTGTGTGTGGACAGGGAGGGAGTGGAGGTTGCTGTGTGACGAATTTGGACGCTGTATGAATGCTCTTTCCTAAAAGCTACTGGAGCTGAGGTCATCGCAAGCTGGTGGAGTCTGAGAGCCTGAAATGAGATCACCAGAAGGCTGGGCTATCCTGTGACACACACTTAAAATGAGCAGTTTCTCCCTTGAACATTGGTCATTTTTCTGACCAAGCGGAATCAAAAGAAACTAAAGAACATGGGCTGCAGCAAACGGAGTCCGAGGACATACACAGTAACACACACACACACACACACACACACACACACACACACACACACACACACACACACACACACACACACACACACACACACACACACACACACACACACACACACACACACACACACACACACACACACACACACACACACACACACACACACACACACACACACACACACACACACACACACACACACACACACACACACACACACACACACACACACACACAGACACAGACACAGAGAGAATTATCCGCCTAACAATCAGAAGCGATGTGGTCAAGTTCCCTGGCAGATTTTAAGGATGACATCACTCCCTTGACGCTGTGTGAGGCCCACACCCTGTTCAATGGTCAGACGTGGATACAACCAAAAGTGCAAAAATAAATCAGTGGTTCTGATGGTCCTGAATAATATTAGCTGGATTCTAATAATCAATCAAATATTTTAAAAAAGTATTTATTTTAAAACTAAATAAATGTTTTTGTACGAATTTAGGATGCATATCATTGACAATCACTAACCTGCTTGGTATTTTTTTAACTTTTGGAGTAACGTTTCCATCAAAAGTATTCATATATTTATTGCACCTTGTGGATAAGTCAAAATTAGTTGCATTATTTTCAGCTACTCACTCATTTTTAGGGCTATTGCTGCCTGAATGTAAAACACCAGTAACCTGAGAAGCATTTAAAAGAATCCACTATTTTGAGAATGTCAAAATGTCTGACTCTGAATTTTTCAAAAAAAAGCCCTGTGGGCAGAAACCACATAACAAACACACATCAATATTTGACGTCAGGTGGTCTCAGCATGTGTAAATATTATTAGTTATGAAACTCTGAGAGAGGCTGGTACCGAGTTGTGGCTCTTGGCAGAGATGATCTTGGTGACGTCGGGGTCCCACAGCACCAGGTCGGCGTCTGAGCCCACGGCGATGCGGCCCTTGCGGGGGTACATGTTGAAGATCTTGGCTGCGTTGGTGCTGGTCACCGACACAAACTGGTTCTCGTCCATCTTACCCGTCACCTGGAATCAATCAGAACTGGGAGTGAGAACAGAATAGGAACCACTGTCCCACTTTCATTTAGTCCTGTCAGATCTGATCTACTCCGTGCCATCACTTTTCCACATGTTTATTCAATCATTCTTGCTCAGTACGGACTTTTATGTTCTTCAGTCACAGTCATATGCTTATGTGTGTTATGATGGATATTCATTTTTGTGTGTGCATGGTTGTTGCGATGATTTCCCCTCTTACCTGTGTCATGCTGCCGGTGCATGTGTGTTGTCAAATTGCTCTACTGTTAGCATTTAATAAAGGTAAAATGCTAATGAGTTAGACAACATGCAAATGTGAATAGCATGACTAAAACAGACATATCTTTCTGGTTATTTTAAATCCAATCATTTGATTTTGCAAAACATTAACTATTTGATTGGTTTGATATTGTTGTTACATATATGGTATGGTATCTATATTTCTTGCTCCTTGTTTTGTATGTTGTGTATTTGCATTTTTCCGCATATTTTTTACAAGAAGATTAGGCAACACAAATATTTTTGTTATACCATTTGTAGAACTCCATTTCAGAGATGCTGGGTGAAATTTGTTACAGACGATGCAGACATTTCTTAAAATTCCAGAGCCCTTTAAAGTCTGAAAATCAACATTTAATGAAAATTCACAACATGCATTTGAAAAAAACAGATAGACTGCTTGAACCAATATTTGTTGTCGTTTAGCCTTTCAAAAACAATATCGTTTAGTGTGGTCAATCAATGTACTGCTTTCATGCTTGCTGCTTAAAAAGGGAGGCAATGATGACTTGTAGGAATTAAAGAAAGCTGATTTGAAAGAAAGCTGAATAAAAAAAAAACTGATTTGATTGGATGATTACCTTTATTTAAATTGAGGATTTTGTTCAACAATTGTGATGACATGATAAAATATGACAGCAAATGTTCAAAGCTTGATTCAAAAACCTCAATAAAAGCTTAAGATGTTTTTTAACAGCATTCGAAACAGCCCTACTATGGGCTTCATTTAAAAAAAAAATTGTATCAAAATACGTACCACACACTTGTCCCAGATGATAGACATCCTCTCCTCAGTACCATTGACGCCTTCAGGGATCAAGCTGAAGTCGTCTTTGCCCACGGCACGCTGGGCCGTGTTAAAGGGACAGTGCGCACTTCCTGTCACCTGCAGGTCACCACTGAAAGAGAAAGTTAAGTTGTCACACAAAGTCCAATTTGTCATTAGGATATTTCTCCCTGTTTGGATCCTCCCTCACCAGGACAGCAGGGAGTTGAGATAGTCTGGTGTGGTGGGGTCGGGGCTCAGGGGGGGGGAGGTGACGTAGGCTGCTGCCTTGGCCCAGTTCTTGCTCCAGTAGTGAGAGCCGTCTGTTCCCAGGCTCGCAGTGATTGGCTCTCCGTAGACCACAGTGCCTGCAATAACAATCCCAAATGTAACACCAGTTACTGCACTCCTAAAATGTGTGAGTGTCTGTTTTGATGTCTCTGTTTGGCAGATACACCGCATGAATACACTTGAATTTCAAGTTATTTCAGGAGTTCCTAGTCCAAAACCTAAGATTGAATAGCGGAACCCCACAAATGATGTGTTTGTCAGTGTTAGTGGGGTAGATTGAGGATTTGTTTTAGGGCTCATCCCTTTGGTTTCTAGTTTTGGAAAAGAGACATTAATAGGCTATTTTGATTTTTTTTTAAGGTATGGTTGTTTGAGACGCCCATGCTTGATGGGTATGGAACCAAAATACACATTAAAAAAATGCATCTTATTAACTTTTCTTAATTTAGCATACCAAATGTGAAATCAATATATTTAGGTGACTTTCTTTTCAACAATAACACAAACAAGGTAGGTATCTTCTGAAATCGGATCTGTCCCATTTAAATGGTGACATATTGCAGGAAGTGATGGATTTGATTTGTGTATTTTGAGTCTCACCCTTCTTCCTGGCCTGGGCGATGACATCAGCAGCGCTCTTGCTCATCACCTTGGTAACGTAGAGAGGGCAGTTGGTCTGATTGGCCACCGTCACAGAGCGGTTCACAGCCTCCGCCTCCACCTGCACAAGAGAGGGGACAACAGAAAGTGGAGCGATGATATTAGTTTGATATTCCACTTCTACATACTTTTTTATTCAATACTGACCACCACATCTCCATTTCCCTACAAATATTACCTCCACAGCTCTTACGGTTTCCCCAGTGCTATGGAAAATTCATCAATTCCAACTTTAAAACATTCGGAGTGTTTTTTTGTATAAACAATACTTCAGACTTTCTTAGGAATTAAACACAAGACCAATACACAGATAAAGTGTCGATCAAAGTCAGTTGAAAAACTGGCCAACATGAACTTCGTAAACAGCCTTTGGACAACATTCTTAAGAGAGTAGATCCAGAATTATGTTGAAAATGTTATCATTTTGGGTAGACATTAGCTATTTGCCGAGAGATTAAAAAGAAAGAAAATGAATACCACTCTCATCTGTAGGCCTACACCATTTATGAAACAGCTGGTTAGCCTAGCCTAGCCTAGCTTAACGACGGAAAACAGCTAAAGGAAGGGACTGAGAGTTCATCATTTTGACTTGTTCCGCACTTTGTTCTTTGTATGTACTGAAAAAGAGGGGATAATATGCTATGTAGTCCATTGAGCTTTGGACAGAGTCATGCTAGCTGTCCCCCCCCCCAACTCCAATCTTTGTGCTAAGCTAAGCTAACCAGCTCCTGACAGGATCTTTATATTCATGGTAATGACACGGCAAGAAAGCGAAGAAAGCTATTTTCTAAAATGTTCATTCAAGTGTGTTGATACTTTAAAATCTGATTTTCATCCATAGCAACAAAAACAAGGTAAAACACTTAAGAGAATCCTGGCAATTTATTTTGACAAGTGAGATGGCAGGATGGTGATATTTATGTGACACACAAAGTGTTCCAAGAAGGAAGAACACTCTTCTTTTGGATCATACTGTATTACATATTTTTGGTTGTCTTTTTTGCCCAACCACCAACGTTGCTAATAACACTATTATTAAATCCGTAAAATAACAGCTTGGATTACAATCAATATTTGATTAACCTAAGCAGGAATTGCTCAGTCATGGCAACTTCCTGTAGGGTGGTGAGAAACCCTTTATTACTTTACCTTACTTAAGTGAAAGCATGTTATAGCCACAGAGGACAATACATGCAATTTATTTTATTTGAAGAAAACCTTCCTTTAGAAGAAGACAGTTCAATCTTTAAACGCAGCTGCCATAAGTCACACTTCATATTTCAATCACTACTTTGTTCCACCGTCTCAATGTTCATGGGTAACAACCATGATGCATGGAAAGGATGTGCTCTTAACTGTAATGCCTCTGTGCTCCCAACAGGAATGTTCAAGTTAAATATATGGAGGTGGATCTGAAGCGGATGTTTAAGTATTTGCCAAGGCAGCGAGAAACCCATGCGTCAGTGTAAAACTGTCAAACAATGTAAGGCCAACAGCGGGGAAGCTTGGAGAGGTCAAATACCCTTCGAAGCGGGGAAAGGACTCAAGAGATTAATTGATTTCTCACTTCCCAAAGTCACACCAGATTGAGGTGGTCAGTGTCCACAGAGCTGAACCTGTCTTACCTCCTCAGGGCGGCTCAGCACGTGTCCCTCAGGCCCAGTGATCCCCTGCTCCAGGATCTTCTGCTGCTCCTAAACACAAACAAACAAATCAGCCTGGAAACGGGAGATATTGAGTCCTGTCAATGTGCATGCATCGACACTTAAAGCCTAAGACTTCATTGGTTGACTCAATACCATGATGTATTCATGTCTAGATCAATTCCTCAGGAAGTGAAAAGGCGCTGAAGTAATTTTTTCATAATCGCCAAACGGTGGTGCTACCGCTGTGTTAGTCACATGACGTCATAGGGCCCAAAAATACTTTTTCCCCCCATTGACTAACATTGGGAAAGAGACGTCTGTAAATGAGCAGATAATTTGTTCGCAGCTAATCCAACTACCCAGTTCAACACTTGAATAGCCCTTAGGGTTGGGTCCTTGTGAGATGTGAAATGCACTGAAAGTAGAATCAAGAATTATTTTTGCTCTTTATTCATTTAACTACAGCTGAGACCAGAAGTGTTGTAACGAAGTCAACTAGAGCTTAAAGAAAATAAAGTATGCATGTCTATGGGTCCAAATGAAGGTAGTTTTATACTTGAGAGTCAGAGCACTTTGGCTTATTGTGCCACTGAGTAACTTTAACAGAAATGAACAGGGCCCCGCCTTCAACACTTAATCTAGTTCTCTTAATACATCCTTGGTCCAGATCCCGGCTCTTATGAAGTGAAATGTCGTACCTCAGCTACAATGTCTCCATTCTCAGCGTGCACCTGGGCGATGGCTCCCAGATCTCGGATCACACTGAACACCTCGTACACCTGCAGCGAAGAGAGGGAGGCGCACTTATGATCTGATGCATGAAAGCAACTTGTGGTTGTCAACACACATTTATACAGTCTTCTCTCTACAGTATGTCATCTAGGAGTTTCAAATAGCAACAACCCAATATCATTCATGAAAAGTGAAACACTGACAGATTACATCTTCTTAAAAAGGGACGCCTTTATTTTGAACTTCCCATGGCACATATGTTTCACCATTTCTGTGTGAACTCATCCTAGGTATTGATTGACTAGTTGGTGTAGAGAAAGCATATCATATGTTGTTTTGAGGATTGTTTCCCCCATCTTTGTTTCTTTCAAATAACATTTCTATCAGTGTGTTTTCTAAAGAATAAATACAGAATATATTTGTCTTCCTTTAGTGCTGAAGGGGTCTTTGAAAAAACACTTTCATCTGTTAAACAGGGTTCTGACGATGTTTTTCTTTGTGTTCTTGTCAGTATCATTGTCAAAGTGCTTTTCAAGTCATATACACAGGAGAGAAAAAGGGGTTCAGGGGAAAAAGAAAGTCTCACTTGCCTCCCAAAGCTTCAATAGAGTTCTGACAGTTTTCTTTTCTGTTGTTGTGTATTCCCATGTTTGGGATGCCGATGTGAGTCAGACATTTGAGGTTTCGAGGGAAAGTATGCTTTTATGGTGAAACGGAAATTCGACACTGATTTCTGCAAAGAGCCGGCC